AAAAAAAAAGAATCGCTTTGAGCCCAAGAATTTGAGGTTGCTGTAAGCTATGATGCCACTCTCAAAAAAATAAAAAATAAACCCTTTCCATTGGTCTTATAACATCCTCTTTCCCAATTCTAAAATAATTGGTGAAAGTTTGTGCCCTCTTTTCTCTTGATTTTTGTTTCGTAAGTGTGAGAAAGTGCTTTTTCTCTATTCACCTTAAAAGTCATGCTCTTGGTTTTGTCTCTGACAGATGCAGCTGTCTTCTCTTCGGTGCTGGCACTCTGACCTTACCTCCTCCAAAGAACCACTGCCCTCTCCTTTTAGTGTTCTGTGGGCTCAGAACCTGGAGATGTTTCCCAAGTTGGCTATACCTTGTCCACTTCCAGAATTTGACCTGCTCAGGGTCTACAGATGGTGCTATTAATAGAACTGGAATTCAGCAGAATCATTGCGAAGGTTTTAAGAGGCAGATTCTGTCTTCAGCTTTTGCAAAATAGTACTGAAATAGACTGAAAACAGTCTAGAATTGACCCAGATGTAAAGAAATTGGTAATCTTAGTAAATATTCTGGGTGGTTAATATCCAGGCAGAGAAGCTCCTAGAACCAAAACTCTCAGTCGTAGACAGTGACAGAGGATACAACAGTATAAGACTTAGCTCAAGTAACCACTACTTTAGGGATGCCTGGAGGGGCCAGCATGTAAAGTCTTGGTGGCCCAAGCAAACCAGGGTTGTTAGTGCTATTTCCAAAAAAGTCTTTGGATCCTGGACAAAGGTTGGCCCCTGACTTCATTTATTTCTGCTGACAACTGAGAAACATTTGTCTTCCATCCACCCTCCTATCCCATGTTTTGTTATTTTTTTAAATTTTATTTTAAACCGCATGTTTTATAAAATAAAAAGTATTACTATCATCTGTCTCTTTAGAGAATTGGTAGTGTGGGTTTTCTGACTTTGGTCCTCTCCTTTCTTCATTTTGGCTTTTTATTACAACTGGGAACACATCATAATCAAATCCCCAACTAGCAGTGAAAGTAAAGCTAGCTCTGGAATCCAAAGTTATGAACATGAGAGGAGAATAAGTCAGCCTCTCCTGGACAATGTTAGGTCGTTGGTGTAGCTGTCTAGTATGCTAAGTCAGAATGTTTAAAGATGCATTACGGTCTCCCCGTTCATTGTGTAGGCTGACAAACTACAGCTCCCAGGATGTCTCAAGTTGTAGCTGCTGATAAAGGAGCGTCTGGTGTTGCATTTCCGCCTGGGAGATGTAGTCTGCGTATTAAAACCTGGGCTTCTCGCCAGCTGGCGCTTTCTGAAGGTCCAGTTAGCCCACCTGGAGTGACACGCGCACGGCTGGCCACTCCCACACCGGATGCGGGGACTCTCCGCGCTCTAGGCCACTCCTATTCTGCGGCTGACCCCTAGTGGTCACGTGGAGCTGTTCGCCACGCAAGTCTGGGTCCTTCCGCGATCGACCGGGGTCCTCGCTGCCCTGGAGTCGCTTCTGAGCTGCCTGTTCGCGCGAGAATTTGGAGGGGTCGGTCTCTGGCTGGGGCTCGCACGGCAGCACCCCCGAACCCCGCTTAGGTGCCAGTTTGGGTCCGGGGAGCTGGGTCAGGCGGTCGCCGGGGCACCCGGTGTCTGGGAGGCTGTGAAGCGATCTGGAAAAGCCGGGACAGCCCCACTCCCCCGCAGCCAGGTGTAGGTTCGAGAGACACCGCGGCCAAAGTGAGAGTCCGACGGTCTTCCAGTGCTTGGGCCACGGCAGCGGCCCTGGGAGCAGAGGTGGGACGGATGCGAGCGGCAGAGGCGCGGGCCGGTCTGGGTTGGGATGCATTGGAGCGAAAGCGATGGTGGAGTCCTCCGAAAGGGGTTGACCCGCACGGGCTGTCACGTAGCTGGAGGTGGGATTGCAGGAATTTTCGGTGCAGGGTCCACATAAGCCCTTCGAATCGAGGGCTCCTTGCCAGCCTTCTGGTCTTCCTTGCCTGCTGCTTCCCGGTGCCTGTCATAACCGTATTATCGCCTACTTCCCTCTCGTAGCTGCTACATAGCCCTGGGAGCCACAGGCAGCAGATGCTAAAGCACCTACATTTAGGGCCTAACCTGTCGACGACGTAGTGTTGGAGACTGAGCCCGAAGTCCAGAGGTCGCGCTCCCACCCATCGCCCTGGGGTAATTGGAGCCCTCAAACGCCAGAACAGAAGAGCCCCTTTGTGCCTCTGCCTTTTCCTGGAAAGTAGAGCTGGAGCCACGCTTAGGCCTTTGAAATCCCTGGGATGAGAAGTAGGGGGGCAGGGGGAAATGGAGTCAGCTCCTCACACTTGTTTTATTCCCGCCAACCCCAGGTGGAGCGACCCCATCACGCTCAAGATGAAAGGCTGGGGTTGGCTGGCCCTGCTTTGGGGGGCCTTGCTGGGAACTGCCTGGGCTCGGAGGAGCCAGGACCTACACTGCGGAGGTAAAGGCACAAAAGGAAGAAGTGGGAGGAAGCAGAGCCGTCACAGGAGGGCATGAGAGCCTAGGCCTGGGAGGATGAATGAAAATTCCTGGGTTGATCCCATTCTTTTCTCATTCTACCCCTACCCTATTCCCTGCCTCCATTTCTCCCCTTCCACAAGCTTGCAGGGCTCTGGTGGATGAACTAGAGTGGGAAATCGCCCAGGTGGACCCCAAGAAGACCATTCAAATGGGATCTTTCCGCATCAATCCAGATGGCAGCCAGTCAGTGGTGGAGGTAATTTGTTACTTTTCCCCCAAGTAAAGTGCACGTGCACTCCAAATGAGAATTCAACTAATTAAGAAGACCTTAGTTTAACAGAAATGAAGAAAACAGACCCAGAAAGGTATCTAAAAGGTTGGCTGGCCAGGCTTGGTGGCTCACACCTATAACACACCTGTAATCCCAGCACTTGGGAGGCTGAGGCGGGTGGAGTGCCTGAGCTCACAGGTTCGAGACCAGCCTAAGCCAGAGTGAGACCCCCATCTCCAAAAAATAGGCAGGCATTGGTTCAGCACGGGTAGTACAGTGGTTACGGTGCCAGCCATATATACTGAGGCTGGTGGGTTCGAACCTGGCCTGGGCCACCTAAAGCAACAATGACAGCAACTGCAACAACAGCAGCAACAAAAAATAGCTGAGTGTTGTGGCGGGCGCCTGTAGTCCCAGCTACTCGGGAGGCTGAGGCAAGAGAATCACTTAAGCCAAAGAGTTTGAGGCTGCTGTGAGCTTAGAC